AGAAAAACATGAGCCAGGTGAACCAATCTGCAAAGGGATTTTGCCCAAGCAGCCAGGAAGAAAAGTCGTGCATAACGTAATTAAATAGAGGAAATATTAACTGTTTATAGGAGTTAGAAATAAACTCAGTCCAGTGGGCCATGAGTATAGAAAGCGCAACTTCCACCTGGCAGGCATCAGTCTCTGCTTTCCTACTTTCCTGCAGGCCTGTTTTCCATTCTGCAGGATTTTTGGTTGGCGTGGTTCAGGACTGCAGACGCTGGATGAGAAGTCAGGAGACCTGGACAGAAGCCCGCCTGGCCATTAACCCCGCTCAGCCCACGGCCTTGGCCTCCCACCTCCCCAGTGAGCGTGTGGCCCCTGGCTGCTGCTCCGAATCAGGGCCCAGGCCAGGACCCTCGCCCTTCCTGTTTAGGAAATCAAAGCTCCTTAACTCTGATGTAAGGAATCTGAGGGATCTCCCTCTCCAGACATGTTTGGTGAACTGGAAGCAGTCGCCCTTCTGGTTGCAGAGACGTCCCCAGAAAGGACGTTCCCTCTGGAGTCTGGGCCCCCACTCATCCAGCGGCCCCATGAATGTGGAGTGAGCACACGGTGAAGCCACCGGGCACCTTGGGCATGCCCAGCCTGGTGGGACTCAAAGCAGAGCTCTGCCAGCACCTATGTTAACTTCGCTGAGACTCAGTTTCATCCAATGTAGAAGGAGAAATAGCTGTTTAAAATACCTACCTTGTAGGGCTCTTAACAAGACATAACTCGGTGGGGTTGGTATTGTGGCTGTTTTGGCACAGCACAGACAGGTGTTAGCCTCCACCATACTGTCACCTGGAATGCCTCCTCCTGTAGCCTTCCAGGGGGTGGTGACCAGAGGAACAGCGCTGGTGGGCTTCCTGTGGGAACCCCCGTGTGGGGCTGGCCGGCCAGGCCTCAGTGAGTGCCGGCCAGTGTGCCCTTCGAATAAATGGGCCTCTCCTGGGAACGCCAGTCCTTGCGTCTTTTACTCCTTCTCCCCGATGTGTGCCGTCTGTTCCCTACCAGCGGTGGGGACAGCGGCTCTGGCAAAGGGGTGCTCCATCCAAAATATACAGTTTCAAGTTCTGGATGCCCAGTTTCCCGAGTCTGAGCTTAAACAGAGCCGAATTCAGCTTTGTGCCATCTGAGCTGAGCCCTTTGACTCCTGAGGCAGTTCAAGCTCACAGACTCTCAGGGCGCTGCCACCTGCCAAACGGGTATGAGCCTCCTGCTCTCACGTGTGGTGGCAGGAAGCCCAGCAGCAGACCCTGACCCCTGGGGGCTGGGACGGCCTCAGTGCCCCCAGCAGGGTGGGACTGCAGCCCCTGCACCTGGTGCACGCTGCACACACGCACTGCCTGCACACAGTTACAGTGTGTGTTCGTGGGGATATTTTTCTCAAGGAAAGATTTCCAAAGCCTTTTTGCAATGAAATGTAATTGGAACTTATAGCAATCTTTTAGCATTCTTTCTATTTGGCAATCACAGCAAAAAATAACTTTACTGAGAATTGTCTACTTCCCCCACCCCCATCAAGGACCACGTGATCAGGTAGATTCCCTTCTGAGCTCCACAAACTGCCCCCAGCCTCAGGACTGCGGGCCCCAGACCCAGCCTCCTGCAGCCCTGAGGCCTTTTCATGTGGAAACCATCCCCACGGGACACAGGCTGCCTTCAAGGCCCTGACAGCCCTTCCCGGGCTTCCTTATCTCACGCATTAGCTGGGTTCCAAACCGCGTTCAGCTACTGAGGATGTTTCGAGGCGGAGGCTCTGTCATCTCTCTGCTTCTTCACGTGCTCTGGAAACTATTCCTCCAGCCCCTTTCCCACGGCCCCTCTCAAAGACAAAGGCTGATACGGAAACTTCTGGTTCGGTAGCTGGGACCCCGAGCATTTGCTCAGGCCCCGGCAGATCCGCTCACGGGACAGCAAGACTCCCAAGAAACCCCGGGGGTCCCAGCCTGAGCCCCGCGGACTCACCCTCGCCTCAGCTCTGCAGCGAGGGGGGCAGGTGGAGACGGGTGCTATTGTGGTGATCATCGTGCCCCCCCCTCAACAAATTACAAATCCATCTGGCAGTTCCTTCCCCCTCTTAGACATCAAAGCAGCTTTTCTGAAAATGAAAGTGTAATGAAATGATTTGGTAAAAACTGAAGTTCTTACCCGTCCTGTGAAAACGCGGCGGCGGGGGCTGATCCGCACTGGAAGTCGCGCGCGGAAGGACCGTCTGCCCCGGGATGATCCAGCCCCACTCTCCTGAGCAGCTGGTGGGGGCCGGCCCCGCAGCCCGGCCTTTATATGCTCCTGGCTCCTGGGTGGTGCTGTCACTCAGTCGGCGAGGAAGCGCGTTTAATTCATGCCTTTGAAGGAGTGGCACAACTCCTCTCTGATCTCGCCTTTGCTCTGAGCACCTGGCACCCGGGTCCCCGTCCAGCCCCGTGCCGGTGGCGCCCTGCTCCGCGGCCCCCCAGCCAGGACAGAGGAGGGGCCGGGGAGGAGGGAAGGGACGGCCTCCCTGGCTTCCAGCAGGAAATAAAACGCTATAAATAAAACCAGCGCAACTGGCTGGAACTCCCCTTTCTGCCTAAGAGAAAGAATGCTAGTTCTGGGCTTTAAATATGTTTCCCATTACCCGAAGCGAGGTGGTCTTTCCAAAGCGCAAGTAACCGTCCATGAGACGCAGAAAGGCGAGGGGGGTGGGGGAGGGCGGAACTTGTGCGCAGGTGAGGCTGTTTTTGGAGGATTAACTTATCAGAGGCAAAAGAATGATATTTAATCAAAAACAAGTGGGCAAATTTTATTTTAATCACTTAGAAGACTGGAAAATAGGACTGAGAGAATTTATTTCCATCTAAATCCTATTTTGTTCACCCAGCTGGCCCCCACAGGATGGCCTCCCACTGTGGACACTAGGCCTGGGCCGTCCGCAGGGCACGTACTTTCCAGTGGCGTAAACAGCCTGCAGTCAGCCTCCACAGGACTCCGCAGCGCATGGCCTCACGGCTGGGTCTGCAGAGCAAAGCCCTGAGTGTAAAATCAGGGGTGCAGCCACCACCCTGCCACTACCAGGGGGCTCAGCATCTCCCAAGGCCAGGATGCACTCTGATGGAGGGGGACACGGTGGGGGGGACAGAGGGAGGAGGAGAGGCCGCACTGAAGCCCCGGTGGGCACTAGGCGGAAGCAGAGGTGTGGGGGGCTCCCAGGCTGGTCTGGGCCTGGTGAGCCTGGGGTGGACAGGTCAGTGTAACTGGGAATGTCAGGGACATGCCCGGTGAGCCCTGAGCCTCTGGGGGGCCGCAGCGCCCCCCAAGATCCAGCACACACTGGTCCCTGCCAGGTCAGGGCCTTAGTGGGGCAGGGGAAGAGCAGCTTTTCCCGAGCACACCCTGCAGTCCGGGCCCGCCAGGGCCTGTGGCTGGGAAGGGTCCTCTCCCCAGGGTGCATTCCGAAAGCCCTAACAGCTGCAGGCTGCTGCCTGTGTGGTGCCAATTTCTGTTGGTGGGAGAACTCTGCCCAAACAGGTACCCGGCCTGTTTAAGGTGAACTGTTTTGGTCACCTAGTCAGTGGCAAAGTCATCACTGCATGAAAAGTTTGGACTTCAGGTCAGTATTTGATAATACAACAAATTCTAACCCAGTTCTCTTGAAGGGCGTTCAGTGGGTGACGCTGTCTGTCTGTCTGTGTGCCTGCCTTCGCCTGCCGTTGGTCAATCCTGTGGCTGGAAGCTGTTTGGACCCCTGGTTCCAGTACAGCCACGCCTTCACCCCCTCATTCGCTCAGCTGGTGGTCACTGGGCAGGCTACACTATGTCCTGCTCCACCAGCATTTCAGGAATGCAGAGGGGAGAGTCCCTTCACCCCAACAATGGAAAGGGCCTGGGAAGAAGGAGAGTCCAAGGAGCCCCTGGCCACAGGCACTGGGTGGCTGGGGTTCAGGAGATGTCTCCCTGGGCATCGCCACAGAGGAACCGGGGGCTTCTGGAGGAAACAGCCATAAGCCCCGGGATGATGACGTCAGGGAATGTCCTTGGACGAGGTGTCCCAGCAGAGACACCTGCCTGTGGGCCCTGTGGACGAGGGAGGGGGCAGGCACTGGACGTGCAGGCACCGGCATTGCACAGGGCTGCACCCCGTGGCCTCTGTGTGGAGGGGCAGGTGTTGTGAGGGGAGGGTCTGGGGAGTTTGGAAAGTCTGTGGAGACCAGTAGAATGCCAGTTTTGGAGGAAGGAGGACCAGGCAGGGCTGCACAAACTGACTCCTGTCCCCAAATTCACATCCTCTGGAGCCATTGTGGAAGCTCATCAGAAATGGGGTCTCTGTAGATTAATCAAGTTAAGATGAGGTCCTACTGAAGTAGGGGCCCTAAGTCCAATGACTGGTGTCCTCATAAGAGGAGAGACCTTGGGACAAGGACAGGCGCAGAGAACACGGCAGCTGTCCCTTCTTGAAGCTGTGTGAGGCAGCAGGGGCCCCACCACAGCCCTGTGGGAGCACCTCGGCCTCACCTGGACTTCAGACTTCTGGCCCCCAGGATGCAAAATGACACTTTCTGTTTTTCAGCCACTCAGAGTATTGCTTCCTTATAGCTGCTGAGGAAACTCATGCACATGGATGGCCAGGTTCCAGAAACTTTCTTGGCCACAATCTTTATTTTTTATTTGATATATTTTTTATTGAAGTGTAGTTGATATACAATATTATATTAGTTCAAATATACAACACAGTGATTTAGCAGTTACCATATTACTAATTCCTCAGCCCCGCTAGTGTGGTTACTGTCTGTCAGCATAGGAAGATGTTACAGAACCACTGGATCTATTCTCCACTCTACACTTCCATTCCTGTGACCAACTTACATTTTGACTGAGATCTGGCGCGTCTTTATCCCTTCCCCCTTCCCAGCACCCACCCAAAGCCTCCCCCATGTTAACTACCAGTCTCTTCTCAGTGTCTGTGAGTCTACTGCTGTTTTGTTCCTTCTGTTTTGTTTTCTTTTAGATTCCACAAGTAAGTGAAATCATATGGTATTTGTCTTTCTCCACCTGGTTTATTTCACTCAGCATAATACCCTCTAGATCCATCCATGTTGTTGCAAATGGTAGGACTTCTTTTTTATGGCCAAATAATATTCCATTGTGTATATGTACCACATCTTCTTTATCCATTCATTTATTGATGGGCAGTTTGATTGCTAAGATGCTCTACATCGATAATCATCAGGGAAATGCAAATCAAAACCACAATGAGATATCACCTCCCATCAGTCAGAATGGCCACTATCCAAAAGACAAGAAATAACAAGTGTTGGCAAGGATGCAGAGAAATGGGAACCCTCCTGCATTGTTGGTGGGAATGTGAATCGGTGTAGCCACTGTGGCAAACAGAATGGAGGCTTCTCAAAAAACTAAAAATGGAAATGCTGTACAACCTAGTACTTCCACTTCTAGGAATTTACTCAAAGAAAACAAAATCTCTGATTAGAAAAGATACATGCACCCATGTTTATCACCCCATTAACTTACATCAGCCAAGATAGGGAAGCAGCCATCCTTGTTTCTGAAGAGGTCAGAGCTCCCCGCCATCGTCCTGTCCCGCTGGCATTCCTGGGACAGACCACGCCCTCCACCTGCCTGTCATAGACAAGCTGTGGGGAAGGGAGCAGGCAGGCAACTTGAGCTCAGTTGGCGGGAGGGCAGGGCTGGACCCAAAGCCCCCGTGGGTCTGGCTGTGCCTTCACGGCTCCCTCTGCCCAGGAGGCGCTTGGCCCTGACTCTGCAGGACCCCATTGGCTTCTGCTCACTGATGGGTGGGTGCAGGCTGCCCCCAGGGAGGGCCGGCTCTGCTCTGCCCTGGCCCCCATGAGGCTGGCCTTGGCCCTAGCGGACCAGCCTTGTGCCCCTCATGTGGGTCCTGGTCTCCCAGCCTGCCCCGCCCTGCCACACTGGGAGCTCATGCACAGCTCAGAATTGAGTGGAGCAGGTGACCACATGCCTGCCCCAGGGATGCACTAGGACTGGCCTCTTGCCGCTTTGCTGAGCTCCACCCCAAGGCCCTGCCTGGAGTCTGTCCCAGGGCTCAGCCCTCCTGGCCCCTCGAGGCTCCTTCCATGACCGCTGCTTCTCCAGGCTTTGCGCTGTGTGTCGCTGGCTGCCCAGGGCCTTCCCACCTGCCCAGACACGTGCCTCTCCCTCCCCTTCCCTGGGCTTCCTGCTTCCTTCATGTCCACTTCCCACCAAGCTTAGGTGTGTAATTTCAATATTTTCGAAACTCTGGCCTGGCCCAGCTGGGGGTCCACAGGCAGCAAGCCGACCTCTTCCTGCTCACGACTCTGATCCCGGTGCTCAGACGAGGCCTGTTTCTCCACCTGTCTGAGGACTGGGATCCATGGGATCTTGTGAAGGGGAGATCCAGGTAGCTCGTCACAGCAGTAAATGAAAGCTCTCTACTTGGGATCAGCCGCCAGCCCACCCAGGCCATCTTACAGAAGGAGGGGTGCAGGCTGGCCCCTGGCCCCTGGTTCCCCCATGGCACACTCAGAACAGTAAAAGCAGAGCCCCAGTGTCTGGGCCGCAGGGCCTGCACTCGGTTCTAGACACCGGATTTTAGAGGGGGCGTGGCCCTGGTGCAGGACCACCCAGGGTGGGCGGAGCCTGAAGGCCGCCCCGGAGAGGGGCCTGCGGTTTCCACAGCAAACCTCGCGCACACCGAGGCAAAGCTGCGCGGGCTCCAGGCAGCTGCCTTGGGACGGGGACCGCAGTGAGCAGGGAAGGAGGGGTTCCCGCCACTCAGCGCACCCCGCACCCTAGGCTGCGCTGGGCGGCTTGGCTGCCGCAGTGCCAGTAACTATCCTGCACGCTAATGAGTGAGCAAAGCAACCCCGTTCTTTCCCTAACAGACACGGCAAAGGGGAGACGCCCGGGTGGAATCAAGGGGGAAGGACAGCCCCTGGTCCCCAGGGACCCTCAGGCCAGCCAGGGGCGCCTCGGCCCTTTGGAGCCGGGGCCTGGAGGGGAGGTTGGATGCCAGCCACGTGGCCTTCCCTTGCCGAGCAGAGGGCACGGGCAGCCCTGGGGTCGGCGACACCCCAGCCGGGTTTGGGCGGCTCACCAAGGAGCGACGAGCCGAACCCCTCGAGGGAGAGATCGCGGACGCAGCTGCCATTGCCCTCAGGTCCTCTGGCCGTGATCACGCAGAGCGCCGGTTCCCCTCCTCTGGGGGAGGAGGGCTACGGGAAGAGAGGAGGAAGGGCAGCGTGATTCACACCAGCTGGGGGCAGGAGGGGACATGCCGCGGACGGGCGGGGGGGTGGTGGTGATGAGGTCATGGGTTATTCTGATTTCTGGTGTGAACTGAGCTTTCACACAAAAGTGGGAGGCCTGGGACTAGGGGTGGGGGGTGCAGACAGTGGGCAGATGCGGGGAGACCACATCCCAGCCGAGGTCCTGAGATGCTGGACAAGCAGAAAGCCAAGTGCCACCCCAGGCCAGCCATGCCACCCTGCCCAGTCCCTCCCCGGGCCCTGGTGTTCTCCCCTTGAATGGGCATAACAGAAGCCTGCTGAGTCAGACCTGCTTCTGGGCTGGGGAGCCGCCGGCTCTTTGATGCTGCAGTCAAGCCCCGAGTACAGGCCCCTTGAGTCCTGAGCACACCCTGGGGGTCTTAGGAGAAGGGACACGACTCTGCAGCTCCAGAGAGACAGCAGGGCAAGCCGTGGTGACCTGCAAAGCCCAGCGCCCTTCCCCCAGACCTTGGTTAGGAGCGCACATGCACCAAACCTCAGCACACTCCCCGGAGTTTGCTGCTTTTGAAACCCTCTGAGATGCTGCAAGAGCCCAAAGCCCCTCACACTGCAGGTGGGAGGGCCTCCTGCTCTCTGAGTTGGTCAGTGCCATGGGGATGACCTTGCACCAGCAGCGGGGCACCCATGGAGTGAGGGCGCAGCCCCCGATCAAGGTCAGGCGGGCCCTCCGAGGCACTGTCTGCCCCTGCTGCATGGGGCGTTGGAGGCCTGACACTCAGCTCTTGGGGCTGCCACCTGCCGGCCTCCTCCTGGCTGCCCACCTCCGTGCTCACTCTTGCTATAGGGCATGAGCCTCACTCTAGCTGGCTACCACCCCCTTTGACTTCAGGCTCATCAGTCCAACATCTGTTCAATGCACCATCAGATATAAACCTGGGCCACAGAAAACGTACCAATTCCCTCCCCTTCCCCACTCCCGTGAACAAGAAGGCCTTGCACACAGCCTTTTGCATATTAACAAGTGTCAGTGAGGGTGCAGCGGCTCAGGCAGGGACCCATGAGCCATCCTGCCTCTGCCTCGCTGAAAAGTCCTGCTGCAGGGCCCCGAGGCAGCCCCGCGCCAAAGCCCCACTGTGGGCCTGTCCCTGCACTCCGACCCCCGTCGTGGCCACCCAGACAGCCACCCCTGGGCCCACAGCCACAGCCGCCCTCGCACAGTAGCCCTTCTGCACCTGATGCCTGCTCATTAGGCATGAGCCCGGCAGCACAGAAGACAAACACAACATGAGGCAGCAGGGCACCTAGGGGCCCCGCTCGGGAGGCACCAGAAGTGCCCTGCTGGCAGCCCCCCTGACTGCCGCAACTGGGTCAGCCTGCATGGAAATCTCGGCCTGCCTGGCCCCCAAGCATCATGAGTATCACCCAGCCTACGGGGATGAGTGGGCTCCCTGGGAACACCAGGGAGGGCTCCCCGTGGCCTGTCCAGCCTACCCCAGAGGGGTGCCCTGCAGCAGAAACAGCAGGACTGTGAATAAAGGTTTAATTTGCCTCCAAGCTACACCCATGAGTTCCCTGAGGTAAGGGTATGTCTTTCCAGGCTCCCTCCCCTAGAATTCTGCACAGAGGAACTTGGAAAAGATTCTGGGATAATTGACTGACGGGCAGATAGACAGAAATGTGCAAAGAAGTAAAAGCCAACATTCTGTGAGCTTATAGGCACTGCAGGAGAGAATCTGGCACGTGAAGAGAAAATGCTGGGGGTCCCCATTTAGGAAGTGGTGGGAGCAGAAGAGATCATCAGGTCCAAGACCTGCAGCACTGCAAACCAGCCTCCGTCTGAGAGCTGTTCTTCTGGGCTATGGGCCGGATTCAAAAACATCCAAAGGAAGCCTCTTCCACTCCAGACACCTCCAGCCCCCTGGACGCGAGGTGAGGGTGAGGGAACGGCCAGGCAGTCCCCCCCACGACCCAGCCTGGGCGCCATGGAGCCAAGACGGCAGAGACCAGGGCTTTGCTTCCCACCAGATGGCGTCCCCGGGAGAAGGGCACAGGGCCCAGCGCAAGGGCAGAGTTCCTATCCAGCCCTGGGCCTTCCTGCTGCACTGGCTCACCCCTGGGGCTCATCCACAACATCTACCAGACCCGGGCGGGCTGCCCAATGTGTGCTGTGACCTCGCACCTGACCGCCGCGAAGACACAGAGGTCGGAGGACGAGGCTGGGGAGGCCACCCCAGAGTGGCGGGCCGGCCCCGCTGCCCACCACCTGCAGCCCCAGTGAGCCAGGATTGCAGGTGGGGAGAGCCAGGCAGGGCCCAAGAGCTGTGAATTCTGCAAGGGCACAGAGGTGCTTCCAGAGAAAGCCCAGGGCACTGTGCAGACAAGTGGACTGTAAATGGGATTCTGGGGTCTGCAGCAGGTGGGTCCCAGGACTGGACACAGGACCTACCAGGTCAGAATAGCCTCAGGGACCAGGGGTCTAAGCTATGGGCAGCTCCCAACTCTAAAGATTCTTGGAGTTGGGATAAAACAGAGAATGCAGAGATGGAGAAATAAATGGAGCCAGAAAAGGCAGTTTGGGACATTTCCTGTGGCTGGAGCAGGAAGGTCACCTGAGTTAGTGAGAGGACAGCACCTCCCCATGGTCCCATGGCAAGCATGGCCACTCGGTGCATACTGGACCCCAGGCATTGGGCAGAGACATCCCCAATGGAGGCTGCAGCCATCTCTGCTCCACACTGAGCTGCGGGCCAAAGCTCTCTCTGGATGCACTTGCAACGTTTCATTTGTCCTAAATCTTCAGAACAATTACCACACTCAGCAGAGGTGTGAGAACAAAGTGTTTGCTAGTCTTTGAATGGATGTTGTTACATACACTCGCGTCATTCACTTGATGGGAAGGACCAGTGCTCTTGTTTTCTCAAGCCCTGAAGACTCCCGTGCCCTTAGGGCTAACCTGCAGAAAGCTGGGGTCTTCCAGAACAGCCACAGGCCCAGGTGGGTCTGAGTGGTGTAGACGATGTCCACACTCGGCTAAGGAGAGAGGCCTGAGAGTGCATGCGGCCCATCTGCAGGCTCCTGCCTGACTTCGCTTAACAGCAGGAGGGCTTTGCTCAATACTGCCTTCCAGGAGGGAACCACTCAGCACTCAATCACCGTGCAGTGGTCTTGGAGAGCGCACACATGGCAACGGGGTTTTCACAAGCAGATTCATGCGACTGACATTTACACAATGTTTTTGTAATTAGGCAGGAATCTGAGCACAGAGACAACATGGGAAGATGCCCAGGCCAAACCACTTTGTGCTCACCGCTCACTTGGTATGTGCATGTGTGCGTGTTTTCATGGAATTCATTATTTAGTCAAAAAGGCAGAAGAATTCCAGAGATTATAAAATATCCCAGTTAGCATGACACATATAAATCTGACTCCCAATATTGAGCAAGCTTAACCTTTTGCAATCACAGAATAGTCTAGAAGAAGCTTCTTTCTTTCCAGTGTCATTGCAAGTTAATGATAAGGTCTAATTTTGCAAGATGTTCTAAGCAACATGGCTTCATAAAAAGGGCTTAGGGCCTACATTTTCTGCTCAGTTTTGGATTGTCTCAAAAAGTACTGGCAAAGCTTCTCTATTAGTGAGGAATGTCCAGGGAAACAGAACTATCAGGACATATGTATACACGGAAGTCTTTACTATAAGGGATCAGCTCACATGGTCATGGAGGCTGACAAGTCTCAAGGTCCGAGTCCTCCAGACCCAGGGGAGCTGGCAGCACAGGCCCCATCCTGGTCCAGGGCCTCGGACCCAGGAGCGCTGACAGTGTGGCTCCAGTCTGCAGGCACCCAGCCCAAGACCTAGGCGAGCCGAGGCTTCACTATGGGTGTGAAAAAAGGAGAAAGTCCATGTCCCAGTTCCAAGAAGAGAACCTTCTTTCAGGGAACCGTCAGCCTCCTACACTCCGTCTCAGGCCTCCGTCTGATCGGATGGGTCCCAGTCCCATCCACATTGAGAGGACATTCTGCTTTACTTAGTCTGCTCTCCAAAAATACCCTCACAGATATGCCCAAAACAGTGTTTGATCAAATGTCTGGGCTCCCCATGGCCCAGTCAAGTTGACACATGACATTAACCATCACAATTTATATGGGCAAAAATTAAAAACCAAAAGAAGAGAAAGCACAGACTCCTCTGATGAGATTCTCATGGGTACAGGTTAATAATCAGCTGTGTAAATGCTGCTCTCATCGAGAACGAATTTATTCCTCGGTGACTCTTGAAATCTCAGTGAATAGGAGGAATCAGACAGGAGCTGATATTATTAAGTAAGTGTAAAAGGAGAAAACCCTTTTAACTTTAGTTTTCATCCTGGATAGCCATTTCATTCTTTTGATTTTTGAAGCTCTTTAAAAAATGGGAAAACATAGAAACCTTTATGAAATATTTTATTTTATTCATTCAAAAGAGCAGTGAGTAAATCCATGAAAGGTTCTAGATTAATTTATCTTTTAACAGTCTATGAATTTATTTGATAAAGCACCTGGCACAGTATTACGAACCTCATAGTAATCTACATATTTTTAATTGAAATTGTCAATTCCAAAGTGTAGCTGTTGATCCTAAGCTTAAAGAAAACTGGGCAAAACTAAATAAGTTTTGGGCTGTCTAAGACCCACACCAAAACTATAGTGTAAGAGCATCTTAAGAAAATGCTACAATTAAACTCAAATTTCAGTGTTTACATTTCTTTATATTTCTTCTAATATATTCAGTATACATGTCTATGACTATCTCTAGAAATCTTCAAAATCTGGTCATATTTTTATCTAACAGTTTTATTTCTATTATTTTCAATTTTTGATTTCATCAATAATAGGATTGTTTTCTTGATTTCCTTTCTAATAACTTATTTAGTGTATAAAAGCACAACTGATTTTTGTACATTGATTTTGTATCCTGAAAATATGCTT